CATCTCCTTCACTTCTTCCTCAGCGCTCATAAGCGCAAAGCCATCAGCGCTCATAAGCGCAAAGCCATCAGGAGCCTTTGTGAGCATCTCCTTTGACAAAGAGTACCTCACAGGGGCACTCATGTCATCGAAGATCGTCTCACCATTGTTGACCACGCAGTCAGCTTCATCTTGGCATGAGGTCATCATGCCTGACAGCAAGTCCACCTCACTGTCATGGACTTCAGCTGCTGGTGTCACACAATGTGCATAGAAACATTGTTGACCTCCTGATGCTTGTGAAGTTCTTGAAGGTGCAGGTAAAGAGCGTGGCTGTTGTTGATTTGCATAGTTTGCATCTTGTTTGCCATCTCCTTTATCCTTTCCTTTTCCTTTCTTGCCTTTTCTCTTGCCTTTTCCTTTTCCTTTGTGGGAAAACCATGCTTCTTCAAGCTGTTGCCAAAAGTCATTGGCGTCATCATATTCTCCTTGAAGATAGTCATTCATATCCTCGGCAAGAATGGCATCATATGCTCCTTGGTTTGACTCCCAAGTTTCCTCATAAGGATTCTCTTCAAGGTATTCATCTGGAAAAGTTGTCTGTTGCTCATCAGCAAAATGGCCTTTACCTCGTCTCTTTCCTTTTCCTTTTCCACGAGGTCTGAAGAATCTGCGGCCTGATCTTCCTTTTCCTTTTCCTTTCCTTCTACCTTTTCCTTTACCTTTTCTGGCTCTTCTTCCTTGGAATCTCCTTTGGAACCATGAGAAGTTTTGATCATCATATACCCAAAAGACATCGTCCAGGGCATCTAAAAATCCTTCAGTTCCATCTTCTTCATCTTCGGCCCAATAGCCAAATGTACCATCGAGTTCTCCTTCGTCTAGTACGAGAAATGATCTTCTACCTCCAGCACCTGTTGGCTGCATCAATGGATTGTCTACTGAAGTCTTTGTCGTGCAGAACATCTCGATGAAAACTGTCCTCAGCTCTGTTGTAGTGTATTGCTGCAGGTACCTGCCACGATGAGTCATCAAAGAAGTCAAAGTGTTTCGCTGGTCCTGAGACAAATCTGCAAGTGACAGCATGAGTAAAGCAATCAGATTTTCTCCTAGAGGAAATTCGTTCTGATGAAGAATTCTCATATTGCCATTGACATTCTGCATGATTTCCTGAATCCTTTCTGCCGTTGGTGCTACTCCAGTCAACGCTGCATCTGCCTGCATCTGAGCAAGGACTTGGGGATGTGCTTGAGTGACTGGTTCTAACATGTCCATCCAACTGCTCATAAGCCTTTGGAGTAAAATCTGGAATCTTGTCATCCATTTCATCATGTCGGCTGATCCTCGATTGAATCGCACGAATTGCATAAACCTGTATAGGAATACATTGGTTGATCCTTTCACGAAATATGGTCGTAGTACTCGTTTGAAGTAATCTACTCCTGCTCCTGGTGGCTCATTAGCCTTCAATGAATCTCTGTCTAATACACGTTTGTATACTGCTGCTTCTCCTTCTAATCTGTTTCTCAAGGCTGGTCCTCTCTTCTCTTCTTCCAGCTCGGTGATATCACACCAATCGTCTATGGCATCCTCATAGGAAAACCATGAAGTCTTTCCATCATAAGATGGGGGCACCTTTGTAGTGACCTGTGTTGTCATTGCTATTGCTGCTGGTTCTCTTCTCACATGCCTATTCACGTAGGCTGCTGGCTCATAAGCCACATCCGCATCAGGCTCTTCCCAGTCGTCAATCCAATCCATGGCCGTTTGCCCACAAGCAATTCTATGCCTAGGAAAGGAGCTCACCTGGGTCTTCCAGGATCACTGCTCCGCTACCACTGAAAGAGTGACTAGGGCGTACACGGTAGAGGTGCAGACCGCTAGTGTCTTTTATGCGCAGAGTCTTATCCTCTTGCTCTTTAGGTCCATTGACCCTCTCTTGAGCCTTGAAGCAGTCAAGCATGGACACACTATATCAGCTGTTGGAGTGGAACCCTGTACAGGTAGGCTCTACTTTTCAGGGGGGGGGGGGTGTGTTTGGGGAAATCAATTCGAGGGGGGGGGGGGGGGGGGGGGGTTTGAATTGAGTGATCAATTATTAGACCCGGACGTCCCAACACTTGCTTCGCAAGACAAACTCAAGGTATCCCCTAAAGGGCTACCTACGCAGCCTTACCTACCTCGAAGGCGGATGACTTAAATAATTGGGCACCTGTCAAGCTATGGCTCGAAAACGCTCCGAACAAGCTCGGCAAACGCCCTCTCACCAGCCCTCACCAGGCCTCTGCCGATAAGGCTTGATCCTTTTGCACCCGCTCCGGCGTGGACATCTCAGGGGGCAGCACGATCCTCAGCCGCACGCGATGCATGTGAAGGGCAGCCCTCCAAAAGCTATCAAGAACAACATGGCTGGCCTTTCCTTTTGCGCATTGAACAACTTCAGCTCCAACTGGCACATTGAAAGCTGTTTAAGCAAACTTAAATCGAGTTCCAAACGTTGTTGCACTTATGTGCGTTCTTTTCTCATTCACGGCTTGCACTTGCTGGAGTGTGGTTCATGGATGATTGTACAAGGTCAACATCTGTCAACAGCTGCGAGCTCGGTCAAGGCGCAGAGCTTCAGTCTGCTCGGGACGGCAGAGCTCCGCCACCCCGGTGATCTGGCCATCCTGGTCGACACGGCCATCGCTGTCGATCCATAGTGAGCGAACCGCGGAGGGAACCGCCATGAGGGACCCTCCATTGGGAGGCTGGATGGACCGTGATAGACCGGTTGACTCGTGAGAGTGGAAGATCAAAGGTGGACCAGGTCCGGGATAGAGTTCGGGTGGAAGAACCACGCCTAACTCTTTTGGAACACTTCGAATGAGATCATCGAAGAACTGCCTGTTGCCACTGTGAGGCTTGGATTCCGGCAAGCTTTGCAGACCGTTCGTTGAAACCCGAGATGCTTGCTGACCTGAAAAAAAATATATATATATATATATTATATACAATTATATACATATATTCAATGTACGAGTATATGATAGTATATGTATATATGGCTGTACCCTGGTTGAACATCGAAATCAGCCTAGCACGGATTAGGGGTCCGGGTTTGACCCACAGCCATACACGGCGCCTTCTCCCGCAGCAGCCGCTGAGAAGCGGCACCCGCGATGAGCTCGTCCGCCGCCGCGCGCGCCTCGCGACAGGTGCTGAACCTGGCCCCGGCGGGCGCGTTCCTCGAGTGATGGAAGCTAGTGATTGAACATTGCCAATGGTCCATGGATTTGATGGCGACATCTTCTGGCAAGCAATTTCAGGTTACACTTTCGATGTTCTTCACTGGCTCTCAGTGCAAGTGGAGTTGGTTCCATCCATCCAAAATGAAGAAAAGGGGGAGGCGAACGACATGAAAATAACAAAGATCAAAAAAAGGCCCAGTCTGCCTCCTTGGCGGATGAGTCCTTTGATAATTCTTGAACAAAAAACTCCAGTTCCACTCCTCTCAATCCTTTTGATACCCTTCGCCCCAGCACTCTTGCCTTGCGTGGATCCTCCTTTCCGAGTTTTTCCAGGACCACGAGGCGGTGCAAAAACCCGAGCAGTCCTGGAACGGTCCGATCCAACGGATCAACCGATCCAGCGCAGCCCATGTGCTCGATCCATTCGGACATCTGAGGTCCTTACAATAAGTCTTGGGACCCCATGTGGCAGCGTGCCCCCCCTTTGCTGGTGAAGAGCCCTTCTTCCGCCCAGAAAACAGGCAAAGGTTGAGGCAGCATCATGTACACTTGTTGACTGCTAATCAGTGTTGGCAATGCCTTTGGGGCCTTTGGGCGCACCAACTCGCCAAGTTCATCCCAAGTCGTGGCTTGCCCTAGGTCTGAGTTCATGAGCCAAAAGCCAAAACACCCAAACAACTGCGATGTTCTCTCGCTGATGAAAAGGCCATCCCCCCTGCCCGCTGCAAAAATACCAAGCCCTGCCTGGATTACCTCGATGATCTCCCAAACACTCACAGCCTTCGGCAGGGCACGGATCAGCAAGCTGCCCACATTGGGGTCCTCAGCTGAGCGGCGCGCCACGTGGCGCCCCCGAACAGCCCTCCCGGCAGCGGAGTGATCGCCAGGCGAAGTCGGGTAACTTGGAGGAAGTCAACGTTGCTGACCATAACATCCAATGGTCCAAATGCATGATCCCACACCAAAAATGAAAGTTGTTGGACGCCTGGCCGTTGACGTACTTCTGCCCTAGGGATGAGTTTGGGTTTGCTTGGCTTGGCTTCAAACGTATGCTGTAAACTCAATGTGGTGTGTGTGCCAACACCTCTTCCAAAAGAACGTGTTGCACACTCGCAGGGGGATCAGGCTTCCAGTGACTAACCTGATCCAACGAAGCTGGGTCACTGGAAGGGAAATGGTTTGCACGAGCCTTTGGCTTAAACGGCTTAAACCATACTGCTTAGGCTGACCTCTCCACCTTTCCGAAATTGCACATGGCCGTTGATTCCCTTAACTGATATAGCTCTTGCGAGCATCAATCTAACTGTGTGTCGCCACAGGGTCCCACTGCGGGCTGTGGTGTGATTTCCAGCGAGGGGCGCAGCATGGGCACATGCCCGTAAAGGGTGACCCTTCCCTGATCCATGGTCTTGCACTTGATCCTCCCTTGATCCTTCCACGATCCTTGGTCTTGCACGAGGATGCCGATCATACGCCGCAGGGCTTACTGAGATCGAATTCCAGAACGGATCATCACATGCGGCTAAGTTGTCACATGTACACGCCATGCTGTTAGGTAGTCATAGGCCATGCGACCGGACGTAATCACTAGGCAGGACGGCTAAGCATTCACTTTTCGGTTCGTTCCTTCCTGCTGTTGCTCTTTGTTTTCTAGGTCTTTTTCGTTTACTAGAGGCTTTTTCGTTGTAACTGAAGCTTCTTAGTCAAGTGTGCGCCGGTTACGGCTTCTCATCAAATGCTTTCGGGCCTGAACCCCTAACCCCCCCCCACCCTACACCCCTCGCACCTTTCGTTCCTTGCCTTTTTTCGTTTGCTTGGGCTTTCTTTCAGGCTTGTTATGTCGGCGTTTAGGCTCGTTTAGTCAACGCACACCCTGCCCACCCCCGCACCCCTTGCACCTTTCTTTTCCTTCCTTGCCTTTATCGTTTGTTTTGTTCTTTCTTTCAGGCTTGTTAGGTCGTATCCAGGCTCAATTAGTCAACGCACTCCCACACCCCCTTTCCCCGCCCTTCCCCTTCCCGCGGAAAAAGAGAGCGCGCCGTTTCAGCTTTTTGTGTGCATCAACACCTGTTCCAAAGGAGCGTGTTGCACACTCGCAGGGGGATCAGGCTTCCAGTGACTAACCTGATCCAGCTTCTGGTTTAAACCATGCTGTTTAGGCTGACCTCTCCACCTCTCCGTTTTGCACATGGCCGTTGACAGGTTCAGGTTTCAGCGCTTTAGATCGGTATTGTAATCACTAGAGTGGGTTGCCTTAACTGATTTAGCTCTTGCGAGCATCAATCTAAGTGTCTAGTCACTCGTCTAGTTGTATCTAAATCCATTGTCGCCATCTCAGGAGCCTCAGCATGCCCACCCAATTTCCTTGACATCCCGACCCTGCGGGCGAAGCTCGAAGGCAAACTCCGGCGGCTGCAAATGCCCTGCCACGCCACAGAAAGAGCCCACACCTTGGCACAAGGAATTCGGTACCAGGTTTGGTTTACTGACTCGATGTCCCTTTCAGCATGTGTCTTTTGCGGGCCTCCCTATTGCAACGCAGATGGGTTGAAGCCCAACTGCCCAACCTTTGTCATTTGTGTTTTTGGGGGTTGAGAATCGTCTTTGGGTTCCAAAGGGTGGCACTCCCAAAGAAATCCGCATGATTCTTAGGACAGGAACGTACGTGTGGAATGAATGGACAAACATGAACGTGGACAATGCCTACTTGGTTTACCGAAGCCTTTATGAGGAAACAAGATCAGCCCAAGCTTGCTTGGCAAATGCGCAGAGACGTGGGCGAACTGCGCGTAAACTCAGCCCTGCGTACCTGCACATCAGCCCAGCAACAGAAAGCTCGGGTCTTGTGAATGTAGTAGCGCCCTACGGCAATTTCCGGACTATGTTAGAATGGACTACGTTACAAAGACAAGAACCACTGAGTTTTCTTTATTGTCCATTGTGCTAGTGGTGAGGGGCTTCCATGGCATACCTTGAGACAAACCGAGACGTCCATACTGTGGCTTCTCGCCCAGGTCTTCTTAGCGGCTTTAGCGGTCCCAATGACCCCATGAGCCGAGAACCGTTGAGGACCCAGCCTTCCTAGGCGGAGATCAGACATAAAAAGCGCCGCATTGGCTAGAACTTGCCCTCTGCGTAGGTCATAGCAGCGCAGCTGAGCCATGGGGTTGTACATGTCATAGAACCACCCGCTGTCCTCACAGGTGTGAAAATGTGTGTTTGAACTAGCCTTTCATCAGACATGGAAGCTTTCGGTATGAATCGGTCTATGCAGACGACGTCGATCAAGCTTTGCGAGAAAACATCGCTTGGCAGCGGCCCTTAGCTTTGCTCTGCTTTGCCATTTTCTTTAGGGAACCCTCGGTCGGTTCTGTTCGCTTTTGCTGTTTGGTTTCGGTTGATAGCGCTTTCGATTGGTTCAACATTGGTAGCGGAGCCCGAGGGGTTAAATCCGCGGTAGTTGTGGGGAATTGTTTGGTCTGGTTTTCGGTCTGCGGTTGAGGTTGGTCTTAGGCTGCCTGCTCACGCGTGCGGCATGACGGAACCTGACCCTCCGCGACAGCGGAATGATCCTGCGGGCGGAGATCAGGAAGATCTCGTGGCTTTGAATGATCCATGGGCAAGAGCAAGACCTCAAGGCCCACCAACAGTGTTTGGACCTGCCGTGGTTGAGTCGGGTGCGAGTGATCAGCGGCCGATACCTCCGGCCACTCACTATGTGCAGGTTCCAGGTCAAGGTGAGGCCAGTCAAGGTAGTTTGCCAACTGTTGGAGCGTCTGGCACCTTGGGGAGTGATCGATCCTGGCAGTGCGTCGTCTCTGAGACGTTGCCGCTGGAATCGGTAGCGACACATTCGTGGCAGCCGCATTCGTCGTATGTTGCATCAGCACCTCCACCTGGTTTTGATGGAAACGATGCATTGGGCTGGATGGGGTCGTGTCGTTCGGCTACTACACCAGCTTCGTTTGGGGGTTGCGGTCATGGTGTTCATCTACCACATCCACCATGCTTTCCGGGAGGTTGCTGCGGTCCACCTGGGGGAGTGGGTCCATGTCATTGTGGTCCACATGGTTTTCCAGTCGGAGGGTTTCCTTGTGGAGTTTTTGGTATTCCCCCTTCAGCTTGGCCCTATCACATGACGAATCCCATGAATATGACTTCACCACCGCCAATGACATGGGGAAACGGACCATATCAAGCATCGCCCTCGCCGCCTTCAGGACATGAAGATCGAAGTAAAGATGAAGAAAGCGGAAAGAAAAGAAGGAAGAAGCCAAAAGAAGAAAAGGATCCTGAAGAGGCGCGAAGGCAGGTTGGGAGTGAGGGCAGTCGTCAAGATCGCCATGATCGTGCTCCGTTTGGTCCGCCATCCGGCGGTGGCAGTGGGTCGACACCACCCGACTCATCCACTGATGACTCATCGGCGGATACATCCGCCATTCGATCGATGCTGAAAAGAAAGGTGATCCACCAGATGGAGAGGCCCAAGTCCAGTTTGGGCTCGGTTCGAATTGAGGAGTTCAGTGGCGAGCGTTTTCGCTACACCAAATGGAAGAAAGCAGTTGAAGCACAGCAGCAATTGTACAGGTTGGAAGAACAAGAGTTAGCCATGTTGGTGTACCTCAGCACCAAACGTGATGCTCGTGACTGCTTAGACCAGGCTCCGATCAGCGAATTTACACGAGCTGGAGGTCTCAAGTTGGTTTGGAGACTTCTGGACGAGGCCTTTGGAGAGACTGAAGATGAGCAATTTGAGAGAGCTGAGAAGGAGTACAACCAGTACAGACGACTACCTGGTCAAGCAGTGTCAGCTTACATCGGTCAGATGAAACGATTGAAGGCCCAATACCAAAGGGTTGATCCGGAGTCCCAGATTAGTGATCGTGCTTGGGGACAACGTCTGTTGAACAGATGCAGTTTGTCTCGCCGCGAAAGGTTGGACGTGTTCTTCAGTGCAGGAGGACTTTACGATCCAGTGGCCATCGAACGAGCTCTTCGACACCGGTGTGCAAACACTCATGAGGATGAGCGCCGGGTACCAAATCCTACCCGGAATACAAAGGTGTCCAAGCCTCGCTACTATGACGAGAAGAAGAAGACTGGATACAAGAAGGTCTACAAGAGGATCTACGTAGCAGGAGGCGAGGATGAAGATGAGGAGCCAGGAGATGAGGCGGAAGAAGAGGATCTGGAAGCTGAAGGTCTTGAAGAACAAGACGTGTTCTATGAGGATCAGGGCGAAGACACGGAGGAGTTGAATATGATCCAAGAGGAAGACAATCTTCCGGAAGATGGTGAGGAGGTCCAGGAGAGCCTCAAGGAGGCTTACGCAGCTGGCTGGAAAGCAAAGGCCAAGATGAATGACAAGAAGAAGTCACGGGGCTGGACGGGAGGCAACTCAACTCTCCCTCCATCGGTGGCACAAAAGAAGCAATCCAGCCATTGTGCATCATGTGGCCAGAAGGGCCATTGGAGAGGTGACCCTCAGTGCCCAAATGTCTTGGCTGGCAAGGACAAGCCTCATCAAAAGAAGACAACTCCACCAGCAGCGAGCAATACCATCCACTTCACCTATGCCGTGACCACCCACAAGAAGACGAAGACAGAAGAAGTCAAGACCTCAGGACCAATGATGGTGTCTTGTCCCCAATGTCGATGGCCTACTACGACATCAGCCAAGTTCTGCTCTCAATGCGGTTACCGCTTTGATTGGGATCAACGAATGGCTGAAGGGAAGAGAGGTTGGACAGTCGTCAGCCCGGAGGAGGATGATGAAGATCAAGTCCCAAGCTCAGAAAGCAGCAAGCCAGATGATAAGCCCAAGATGTATCACCTGCGAAAGGGACTTCTACATGAAGCGGCAGGTACAGGAAGCTCAAGAAGACTGAACAAAGAAAAGATCAAAGCCAGCCCTGAGGAGGTGCTTGCCGCGTTGCCGATGATGTCCAAGAGCGAGAAGAAGCAAATCAAGAAGGTCTTGATGAAGGAAGAACATGATGCGGCTTTCGAACGATTGGACAAAGGCAAACTCCTGCAGCACTATGCTAGTTCGAGCAGTGAAGAAGGAGATCCGGCGGCCAGAGCTTCAGGTCATCAATTACCAGTGACCCCCAAGACCAAGGGCACCAGTGGTGGTTACATGGAGGAGGTTAGGAAGAAAGATCTTCCAAAACCTGTCAGAGACAAGATGTTAGCCAAGTTCAGGCAAGAGCTATATGAGGCGCAGCTGCATCGAGGGAAACTCAAGCCATCATCGTGTGCACCAACACCCACAGTTGAGCAAGCACGATGTCATCACCCTTTTGAGAGGTTGCGTTGGTCAGCCAATGGAGATGGACATTATGCCGCCTGCAAGGACTGTGGTTTGAAGTCAGTCATCTACTTCTCCGAACGACATGGAGCTTGGGTGGCGAGCCAAGAAGTCGAGACACCACCTCAGGAGGTTTTTGTCACCAGTGTTCCAGGTATGGCCATCATGGACAGCGGATGCAGAACAGCTGTTGCTGGCCTTAAATGGCACATGGACTTTCAAGAGATGCTCAAAGAAAAGGGTTTGAGTTGGCACGAAGAAGATGAGCAAGAGACATTCCAGTTCGGTTCCGGAGGACCGGAAGAGAGTCAGAAAGCCTACATCTACCCAGTGGGCATCCACGGTTTTCATGACGTCATCCGAATGTCCTGTGTTGGAGGAGGAGCAGCTAGTTGTCCAGGTTTGATCGGACCATCCGAGATGGCCCGGTGGGGTGTGGTGATGGACTTCGCGAACAAGAAGATGCAAATAAAAGGATCCTGGCAACAGATGGCTCTCACATCAACTCGCCACCCAGCAGTGTGTTTGCTGGATTTGGGGTCAAAGCTCCAGGAGTTCTGGGCAAATGAGGAGATCAAGTGTACTCTGAAGATGTTGAAGCGAGCTCCTCAATCATGGGCATTCTCAGCTGAACATCGGGCACCATCGGAGGAGGAAAGTTCAGGTGATGAGAGTTCACCAGAAAATGATGAGGAAGCCTATACCAGTGAGGAAGAAGGAGAACAAGGTCAGATGATGAAAGCCCTACAGCGTTTGGAGCACGATCTCGCTCACATTCCCCTGCAAGAGGCTGAAAGGAATGAAGATGACGGAGAATGGGAGCTGGTGAACGACACAGATGAGACCGAGTCGATCACTTCACATGAGTTTGGTGTTCACGAAGAAGATGGTTCAGAGGAGACCAGCTCGGAAGAAGAGATGACAGAACATGAAGTCTACTGCAGCGGGATTCAAAAGAAACACTGCAGCAAGAAAGAGCGAAGTGAAATTGCAGGAAGCATCAAGGAGATCCAGAAGATCTACATCCAGCGCCAACAGGAAGAGAAGAAAGGAAAGGAAAGCCGGACGATGAAGATTCCCAGGCGAAACAAGACAGGGCCGTGGAAGGTGCTAGAGTTGTTCACATGGACTTGCATGATTTCACTGTGTGCAGTTCAGCGGGGAAATTGGGAGATGATGGAGCCCATCACCCTGCCGAACTGGGACATCTGTCGCGATGATCACCAGAAAGAGGCATTGGAGTATCTCAGCCGTGCTGATCCTGACTTGCTAGTTGTCGCCTGGCCCTGTGGACCTTGGAGTGTTCTACAAGGATTTGGACACAAAACAGAAGAACAGCTGCGGCAATTGGGGGAGAAGCGACAGAGGGCCAGAAAGATTCTGAAGTTTGTTTTGAGAGCTGTGAAGGACCAAAGGCTGGGAAGAACCAACCATCATTGAAGCCTTTGAGGGGATGCCAGAATGTGTGACTGACATGTGTCAGTATGGACTCAAGAAACCCCGAGAAGAGCATGAGGAGCAAACGCAGTTCCTACGGAAAAGGACCAGACTTCGCGGCAACAAGGAGATCCTGGAGATGTGTGAAAGGAAGTGTGAAGGAAAAGGTCATCAACATGCCCCAGTCCTTGGCGGAGTGAAGATTGCTGGCCGATGGAAACCCCTTTCGGATTTTGCTGGGGGCTATACTCGTTTGTTTGCCATCCAGGTGCTGAAAGGAGCAGAGAATTACTTGAAGAAAGGACGCAGACAAGAAGTCTATGCACAAAGGCAGTTGGTTCCAGAAGAGAGGTTTGAGGACGTAGACGAAGAAGCAATTGAAGAAGATGAAGGAGGAGACCAAGACATGTTAGAGGAAGAAGTGCAGAGAAGAGTCTCTAGACTTGAATTCGTTCATCGAAGATTGGGCCATCCATCGAACGAAGTTTTGTGCCGGATGCTCAAACTGGCAGGGGCATCGAGGGAGCTCCAGGATGAAGCAGCAGGTCTACGATGTGACACTTGTGGGTCAGGGCCTATTCCAAAACGGCCAATGGCACAGCGGACGGATATGCGTCCCATATCTTTCAACGAGATGGTAGCCATCGACCTGAAGTTTGTGAACGACTGCCAGTCCCAGAAGTACGTGGCACTCAGTATGGTGGACACAGCCACCAACTATCATCAAGCAACACTCTTGAGAAATAGAAATCCAGATCACTGTGCCAGAAAGTTCATGTCCAAATGGATCAGTCTTTTTGGACCGCCGACATGGGTCCACTTGGACCAAGGTGGAGAATGGGAGGCAGAGTTCATCATGCTTTTGGAACAACATGCAATAGCAACAAAAGTGAGTGGAGCCCATGCGGGTTGGCAGCTGGGTTTGGCAGAGCGGCACGGAGCTTTGTTGAGCATTGCCTGGTCGTCACTCATTTTCGAACATCAAGTACAAGACCGACCAGGTATGAAGATGACTTTGATGTGTGCCATCCAGGCCAAAAATCAGATTGTCAGTCGCCGGGGCTACAGTGCCAACACCCTCGTGTTCGGCAAACAAAGCAACTTCCCTGACCTATTGGACGATGAGCCAACCATGTCCACTACTTTGGGACAGGCACTGAGTACCGAAACCGAGGTGGCCCGACAGGCAGAGATGCGTGCAGCAGCAAAAAGGGCATTACTACACCAAGATGCTCAACAAAAGCTCAAGAGAGCCCTGACGAGAAAACCGGGAGGTCAAGTCAGAGAGTTTTTACCAGGCGAGAAAGTTTACTTCTGGACTCCAAGAGCTCGAAAAGGGCGATATCGACCCGATCATGGTGAATGGCGGGGTCCAGCCTTGGTCATTGTCAAGGAAGGTCCAGAACGATATTTCGTCTCCTGGCGTGGTCGGTGCCTATTGTTAGCGGCGGCCAATATGAGAGGAGCCACCGTGGAAGAAAATGCAGCTGTCGGGCTTGAGGAGCTCAGAGACTTTGAACAGAAATGGCACCAAGAAGGAGAAGAGTATCAGGACCTGTCCCACGTTCAACGAGAACCAGAAGAAGAAGAAAGTTCAGCAAGGCAGTGGCAAGCACAAGATGAGGTTCTGAAAGGTGGGAAGAAACAAGGAAGGTCAAAAAGGGATGCAGTCCAGATGATGAAAGGATTCAAGAGCATCCAGAAGCTGGTTCAATCCAGATTTCAAAAGCCAAGAAGAGTGCCGAGAGCACCGAGAAAGAGCAAGAAGGTGACTGAAGAAGACAGAGAAGTTGAGGAGCAGGCCAGAAGAGACTTGGAGGAGTTTGACGCCGAAATGGAAAGGCAAGGAATTAGACCTGATGATCCGCGACTCCGGTTGCCATCGAATCAGGTAGATGAAGAAGAGCCATTGATGAATGAAGAAGATGAACAAGAATTCTGGAGAAGCGTGCAGGCCCAAGAGAGAGCCTATGACCAAGAGGACGAAGAGAGGAAAAGACAACAAGAAGAAAGACGAAAGAAGCTGTTGGACGACGTTCCAATGTCCTTGAAGAGAAAGTCAGAACCAAAGGAGGAAGAAGAGCCGAGGCCCAAGTTACCTCGGACAATGTTCCAGCAGTTGGAAGTGATGGTTGCGGATCAGGAGATCCAAGGAGCCTTGAGGCAGAAGATCTTGAAGAAAGGGGAAGGACAGAGATTGCTGAACCAATGGTTGCCAAAAGAAGAAGTGAGACAGATGAGCAAACTTTTGGATCTGCCGATCAGCGCAGCTAGACTTCACAGAGGCCCAAGAAAGAAGTTACAGAAGTGCCCTACTGAGGAGAAGAAGAGAAGAATCACTATGATGTTGCTCGAACAGCCCGGACAAGCGATCCTGGTTGATGAAAGCAAGGAGGAGATGAAAAGGCCAAAGAAGAAAAGTTCAGTCGCATGGAGGGGATTGACACTCTTCGTGCGTGAGAAAAGGGTGGAGAAGACAGTGTCAGAAGGGAATGAAGTGTTCATCCAGGTCGAGAATGAGACCTACAAGATGAAGATGGAAGATGAAGGAGATCGAGCCAGGTGGAAAGAACTGGTAGATCGTGAAAGGCAGTGGCAAAAGTACAAAGAGGTGCTTCTTCTGAAGTTGAAGGCTTCAGGAAAAGAACTAGACCCACGTTGGTTTAGCGAAGAGGAAGCAAAAGCTTTCCAGGACTCTGACAGGGTGGAGTGGGAAGCGTGGATTCGAAACGGGGTCATTCAGCGACTTCGTCCCGAAGAGGCATCAAAAGTCCCCAAAGAAGCCATTTTTAAAATCCCACTTCGTGTCGTCAGGGTCAATAAATCAAAGGACCCAAAAGTCCTACAGGCCAAGAGCAGGGTGGTGATCCCGGGCCACATGGACCCGGGACTTGGAGAGTTCAGAAGTGATAGTCCCACGACGACGCCAACGGCGATCCGACTCATGAAGAGTTTGTGTGTCACCTTTAGGTGGGCTTGCTATGCTTTCGATGTGGCGACTGCATTTTTGTCCGGCAAGAACACGGACCGCTTGGTGTACGTTCGTGCACCTGCTGACGGACTCCCTAGCACCAGCACTTCAGCATCCGTTGGCCCATTTGAGTTGATGAGAGTGGTCAAGAGCGCCTACGGACTTTCAGAAGCTCCGAGGCTTTGGTACCTAAGAGCAGTAGAGCTTTTGGAAAAGTGTGGAATGGTTGAGATCCCCTTTTGTCGTAGCACTTTCATAGCCAAAGACGGTTCAGAGGTGTACGCCTTTTGTGGCTTACACGTCGATGATGGGTTGTTCATCGGAAATCCTCAGAATCCCAAGTTTGATGAACTCAAAAGAGCAATAGATAGCGTGTTCAACATCAAGGAGTGGCAGGTTGTTGGTCAACAAGGAACTGACTATTTAGGCATGAAGGTTTTCTATGATTCTGAAAGGGGCATCATCACCGATGACATGACAGAGTACGTGCTCAAGATTGAGCCGGTGGATCTTTCCAAGGTGCAGAAAGGAAAACTAGTTGGCGAAGGACTCACATTGTTTCGCCAGCTGGTGATGCGTATGAGGTGGCCAGGTCAACATGTTTTCCCAGAGTTCATGTATCGCATCAGTGCTTTAGCTCAGCGAGTGGGAACAGCAGTTTTTTTCGAGGACATGAAAGATGCAAACGCCTTGTGCTCAGAAATGCATGCTGCAGCCAGAGCCGGAAAAGCCAAAATCGAATACAGACCTTTGGAAGGAGAAACAATGTTTGTGACATTCTTCGATGCAGCTCTAGGTCGCAAACAAGATGGTTCAGCCCAAGCTGGCGAATTCCACCTCATCACGGACAAGCGTGCATTGACAGAAAGTCGACCTTCGAACTTGTTGGAATTCCATTCGAGCAAGATTTCACGTGTCGTTCGATCCAGCATGGCCGCTGAATCATGTGCTCTCACGAAGGGAGCGGACCACCAGTTGTATAATCGTTTGCTGTATGATGCTCTTTGTTTTGGTCGCATTGAAGTGAAAAGTGAATGGAGGAATCAACTCCATGCTTTAGGTGTTCTTGTGACAGACGCGAAAGCTCTGTATGATCATTGTTTGACAACAGGGCATATGGCTCAGGAACGTCAGACAGCAATTGATTTACTCATGTCCAAGAGAATGATTGAAGAACGACAAATGGATTTAAGATGGGTTCCGACATTTAAACAGCTAGCAGACTCTCTCACCAAATCAATGAGAGATGTTTTGCTCACCCAATGGAAATGTGATGGTCTTGTTTGCCTGACCTCCACCCCGGAGGACTTGCAGGACGAAAGCCGAAGAGCCATGATCCGTAAGGGACAGCGCGAACGGCGGGCAGCGAGAGCTAAGAAGTCTGATGAAACTTCTCCTTCCAGGGATGTGAAAATGTGTGTTTGAACTAGCCTTTCATCAGACATGGAAGCTTTCGGTATGAATCGGTCTATGCAGACGACGTCGATCAAGCTTTGCGAGAAAACATCGCTTGGCAGCGGCCCTTAGCTTTGCTCTGCTTTGCCATTTTCTTTAGGGAACCCTCGGTCGGTTCTGTTCGCTTTTGCTGTTTGGTTTCGGTTGATAGCGCTTTCGATTGGTTCAACAACAGGGTCGTGGCAAAGCGGAAAACGAATGACGGCGTCTACCTATGGTGCATGAAACAGGCACAAAAATTACATGCATAAGTTCCGAAAGAAAATTTGTTGGCAGTTAAAACACTGTGCCCCTGCCAAACAACAACACACGAACGAACATTGAGTCTAGCTTGACTCTTGACGGGTAATCATATGGGCCTTTCCATGGCAGACCAAGGGAGCCTCCAAGACAATCCCGAAAATTATGCAGATTATATAGAGGGTTGAATTCGCTTGCTGTCGGCATGGTTACGAGGAACGCCTGCAACCTGAAACAGCACAAACACGGTTAGCTGTTATTATATCCATCCATCCATCCATCCATCCAACCAACCAACCAACCAACCATGCTTGTTCTTCACATCTCCAAAGTCTCCCGTCATTGGTCCTGGGTGTTCATCACTGGTCTTCGCCTCTGAATTACTACACGAGACTGCGCGCCAACAAGGCACAAGTTGCAAACAACTATCCTCGCTGGAAATCCGCATATTATTCCATGTCCATCCATTTCCCGTGTCATCCGTCCTTGATGCTCTCGAGTAGCTTGGCAACCTTCTCCGAAGTGGTTTCCACGGCGTGCTCCCGCATGAAGCGTCGGAACTCCGACTCACTTGCGTGACCTTGGTTTTGAGGCCGAACGAATTGACTGCCTCTTGGGCCAGTCTTCAATCAAAGAACCGATACAATGGACTAAAGTACTAAAGCACGATTCTGATTCAAGATGGAGGTGTCCGAGTGGTGGACGTAGTGAATGATGACACTTAACTAACTAGTAGATGAGCCTAACTTTTCGTGCTTGGCCCACTGTGGTCAGATAATGTAAAACCTTCGCATCAAAGCTTGCCTGGACCAGACTTCGCTGGCAGCTTCTCTTCCAAGGTCTCTTCCATCTCTCCATCTTCATCCACCTCCATGTCCTCATCCACCCCACGGTGACTGCGCCGCCTCCGGCGCCGCCTCCGGCACCGCTCTGCTTCGCGGCCACAGCGCGTGGCACTGGTGCCACGTGTGCCGCGGCGCCCGCGGCGCACACGGCGCACGCGGCGGATACGGCGGATGCAGCGGTCGCCGGAGCCAGAGGAGCGGGAAATCCTGACAGATAGGAGAAATCGGCTGTTTAGCAGTCCAGTGAAGTAGCGCGGAACCACTTTGGATGATTTTGGATGGACAAAGCCCGCCAAAATGGATTAATCGAGTGACAGGCTCTGAGACACTCCCTCCTCTTTTTCATGATCCGCCCGATTGTTCGGATCATGCCAGCTTTTCAACCAGCTGCTGTTGAAACACGTCACATCTCCCCTCCTCTCTTTGAGCACCTGCGGGTGCCGGAAATGGCAACCTACTCGTTGGCATCGGTCGCCATGCCAACACCAGGCTGCTGGAGCCGGAAGCCTCCGACGCAAGGGCGAGCGCGAGGAAGAGGCACCATCACCTGGGAAAGCGGAGGAGAAGTCAGTGGTCGAAAGTCCCAAAAAAGAACATGACAAACATAGAACATCATATAGAAAAGGATCTTCCTGTAAAGTTTCATGTTGCAATTTCCCTAGTAGTCTCTAACTGTGACAGAGCTTGAAGGAGCAGGTTGCCAAAACTACTCAAGGATCCTTTGAACAAAGGAGCAAAGCCATTTAAAGGGTGTACATGGCGTTGGTGATCGGATGATCTTTCCAGAGCTCTGTCTGAGCTGCTGCTGCACCTTTGAAGTCAAGCCTTGTTGTTTTTCCAGCATGCCCCCGATCCTGTGCCACTATGGGGCAATTGTGTATTTAACTGTAAATGCATAGATATGTATGTATATACAGTAAATAAATATATATATATTAATACGTGTGTGTGTGTGTGTTGGACTTCCACCATGTCACCACCGTATCAATGTCAAAAAATCGAAGGTGTTGCCCATGGCACATCACATGACACACGCCTGGGCCCATCTGAATGAGTTTTGGCATGTCTCCCCTCTTGATTCTTGACCCATCTTCCAATCGTGCCAAGTCGAGCAAGGAGCGTGCATCGGCAGCCTCTGAGATCACGTCCGCTTCCATACTCTCGGAAAAGGTGTCGTTGGTCCCCTCACTGAGAACATCCTTGGCAGGGCTTCAGGCAACCCCCTGGGCCGACAGGCTTCAGATCGGTTTCGACCTGGTCCATGTCCTGTGAGAAAACAACACCAAAAGCTGCAAAATACCTGTTTTTAGGCCACATGAAACACGCGGAGCCACAGCAGGAAACAAGAAACAGACCCAAAAAAAGGGCATACGAGTGCTCATGGGCTTCACCTACGGGGCTCAAAGATTGGCAACTGACAGAGAATACCAAGTTACAGTACCAAGATGTTTGTTGAGCTTTTCTGGAGTTGTTGTTCTAAGAGCGCAGCTCAAAGACGAATCCATCAACATCAGCTGCAAAATATGCTCCGTGGAATTGAGGTTTTCCGGACAGAGAGCATGAAAAACCACCAGAAACCCAAACAAATCCAACGCTTTCCGCGTTGCCAGGATTCCTGCAGCTCCACCATGTCTTAGACTTGGCGTGTTCACCAGCACAGCTCACGCGGGTGGATGTCGTCCTGACCGACGCCACGATCAACTAGTCTTGATCGCTGACAAAGCTGCGGTTCAAAACGATTGCGGTTCGATATGGTCGGCGCAAACGATCAAAGCTGAAGACACTAGCAGATTCCTCGTGCGTAGCCAAAAACCGACGTCTGAGTACGCTAACGAGAAAAAAAAAAGTACCGGGTACCGTTCCAAGTGGTTATGACCTAAACCCACTAGCTGAGGGGGACCACACTAAATTCACGAAGTCTGCCTCACCTTTCGATAAATCATCATTTCGTGACAGCAGCATTGCTCTGGTATAAATAGAGGGTGACCCACCCCGACCCAAAGGGCCTGTACTGTCTGAAGAGAGCAAAACAAAGTTAAACAACATGTCAAACAACATCAAACAACCAAAGGCTTAGGAGGGCTATGCGAGCGGCTCTTTTCTAAAGAAGTGCTGTTTTCTGTTTTGCACTCACCAACCGATGGAACCGGGCTGCTTGCCTGGACCCCCGCCCTCCGAGGCTGAAGACCTCTGGCTGCAGCAGCTGTCGTCCCCCTCAGCTCCCGCAGACAGCTGGATGACCTTTTTTCCCCTAGTAGCGTCCTTGCTACTATTTGTTACTAGTTTCTTGTTAGTAGTAGCGATGCCAGGAGCCGCTAGTAGCTTCTTGCTCCTAGTAGTAAGGCCACAAGCCCCTAGTAGCGTCCTTGCTACTGGGTGCCGTCCACTTTCAGATTGGCTGTGAAAATCTTTCTTTGGCCTTTTGGAGCTAAAAAGTTTCTAAAGCCACTCTTTACAGACAGGGGGGCTGTTAGTGAATCTTCCAGATTGGCTTTGGAAACTTTTGAAACCCAGGAGGCCGCCCCTCAGTGGCCACACATCGCAGTGGGTCACCGTCTCTCCGGGGCGCCGGCCCGGCGCGGAGAGAGCCGCCGCGCAGGAGAGGTCTGAGGGAGTCAGACGGTTCAGTCGATCCTTGTGATCCTCCAGCATACCAACATGCTGAAGCGAAAGATTCATCGCAACCCTTGGGCAAACATTGCCATGCTCAACAACCCAGAAGGATTGGATCATCCTTCCCAAGGATGACCCATAAGTGACCCAACGAGATCAAAAATGATCCAGACATATCCCTCAGCCTGCCCTGAGATTCACTTACTTCTGGGAAGTTGTGATTGTGCAAAGTCCCAATGTAGAGTTGACCGAAACATGCTATATAACCCTAGAGTCAGACACATGGCACCACGCCAAATGAGATCAGCTTCACACAGGGGGCTTGGGGGCCAACCTGGAGAGGGACGTCCGCACCTTTTCAAACTAGCCTTGATCTTTTTGGTGGAGGAACGCCACAAGGGCCACAAACAGTCCCTTTTGGATTTGCAGCCGCCAAGGATCTGATGCCCAGCCTCTGGAGAGAGTCCAAGCAGAGTGCCACGTGCCGGCCTCGTTCTTGACAATTGAGGGGCAGTGGTCTCAACAAATGTTGAAGAAACGTCATCTCTATGTATGTATGTGTGTAATGTAATGTAATCTAATCTAATCTAATCTAATCTAATCTAACCTAACCAATATAATCTAATCTAATCTAATCTAATCTATTCTATCTATTCTATCTATCTATCTATCTATCTATCTATCTATGCACAATATTATGCACACACCATATCTACCCAGTATTGCTCTCTAGAAAATGGCCCAGCGCATGCTTGCATGACTGGTCTATGTTTCTGCGCGCTCACCCCTAAGGGTGTTTGGCCAACACGTGTCCAAATCCCACTTTGTTGAGTCCAGATCAGAGTGAACAATACAACAAAACTCAAGGAATGCCACCAGCTGCCAGTGCAAAGGCAAGAACATTACCATCCGGCATTCTCTTCTTGAAATGGCCCTTCTTGCTTAGCTGCCATTTCCCATTCTTGGCCACCCGGCACTGGCAGTGTCAAGGGTGTCCTGCACAGACTGAAATGTCGCAACTGGCCCTAACATGGTTCAAGAAACCAAGGCCCAGGACACATGTTTTGGCCAGTATCTTTCTACGTGCGAAGGGCGCAAAACTCAACCTCTGCTTCAAGGTGCTCCAGCCTTCCTGGTCTTAACCTGTCCATCTTCTTGAGAGGCAGCAACACAACATGGGTACATACTATATATATATATATATACATATATTTGTATATACAGTATATACCTGCGTGTGTGTGTGCACATACATACGCAAAATTTCTTCTACAACCCATCTGTACTGCAACCCAACTTGAGTGTTCTCTCGGTCCAGGCTCGGTCCTGGCTCTCACACCCCCCGGACTATGTTCGTCCAAAACCGCCCCCTCCTCTCGTTCGGTGGGATCACCTGGCGGATCGGCTTCCCATCCGAGCGGAATCGAGGCCGTGACAGACACTGATCGGACAGAATGGACGAGCTATTTACTATGACTCACCAACACGTGAACCAAATTCGTGAGCGAGTGAAGCAATTCATCTTTGGCGTGTGACTCACCAACACGTGAACCTATCGTGAGTTTGGGGGCTTCGAACCTTGTGGTGGCCGCCCTGCAACAAAGCCCCTTCACCAACTCAAAGGGTCTGCAGAGCTGAAGAGACTGCAACAAGATTTGCTGATTTGGGTGTCGACTCTTGACCCACATCATCCTCTTCGCAGGGCTTCTCCACATATTGTGTTCCTAAGAAGCGGCATATATATATATATATAGTTGTCACAGCTTGCTGTTCGTGAGCGATCAGACTCATCCTAAGCCTTAGCCTCATGGATTCAACCTCGCCAACGGAGGCCTGGATCTCTGGAGCGCTCAAGTCATCATGACCTCCCAATCGCCGCAATGTCGGCGACATGCTCATCCCAAGAAGCACCGCGGATTCAGACGTTGAATACGGGGGATTGTTCCCAAAAGCACCCTGGTTGGAAAAACGTCTCCCACTCACAGAGCCTGCGCCTTCATCATTGGCCTGGCTTGGCCAGTAGCTCACATGGATCTGGAAATCTTGTCGTTGGATCTGCTGGGAAGGTGGCCAAAAAGCCCCGCACACAAGAAATGCCTTCCAGTATTTTAGTCTGGTTGAGTGTGCGTCACAGCGGCCTTGTCACAGGAGTCGCTCGGCCTGGGCCTTGGGCTAGGTGAAACAACTGCAGGCCATCACATGCTAGACCCAAAGTGTACAGCTAGGGTGTCTAAACTGAGGTTTCTGGCTCCCCACATGTTGCCCTGGAAGAAACCTGTGGGCAGTCTGAGCAGCCTGGGAAAGTCTGTGGGCCACACACCTCTGGCTGTGGCTGCGGCCCCTTTTTTTTTCCCTGCAGCTTCTACTCAGATTCACCAACTGGCCTGTCTTCCCCAGCGGAACTCCAGATCAGAGCAGGTCAACCGCCCGGCCCGCGCGGGCCTTCGGGGGGCGCGCCCACTGCGGCTCCCACCCCCGGTCTCTTCACAAATGCCCTGGGTCGGTGGCAAAATCGATGGCGATGCCAGGAGAAACTGTTACCACAAGACCTTGTCCTTACTCCAAGCTGAAAAGAATGTTGTGGCAACGGGTAGTTAAGATATACATATCATGTCAACCACGGATCGTAGCCTTTGTGCTTCAATTCGAGCAGAATATGTTGTATCGAAATGGTGCTGTCCTTGCAGAATAGTCTGCTATGTTTGTTTCTCCCAGTCTCGCGGAGCAAGGTGCTACTTGCGCGGCTCAAGCTGCATATCTGTCTACATCCTCGAAGCTACGGCAACAGGGGACTGTGGTGTAAAGGTGCCACAGCTAATGCTCCATTGCTTAGAAACTTGAAGAAAGGATGCCATGATATGCCCTGAACACAGTTGCCAAATGGCAGCCATTGCTCCCAATCCAAGAGGATGATGAGCGCATCCCGGAAGTTCTGCGGGCGCCCAAAACCAAAAGCTTTTTAGAAGTCGTCTTGCTCTTCGGCATTTTCGAACAGCATGTCACCTCGGCTGGGGCTGCTGGGGGTGACATGCACTGTTGCTGAAAAAAGAGGGTGTGCACGTCCCAAAGGGCATCCCAAATACACTCAAACCTGATGGACTTCACTTCACGACCCTGGACCAAACTTCTGAAATCCTCCTTCGAGCTGCAAAATGAGCATGCCACGCGGTCAACTGTGGTAAGATCCACAAGCCCTCAACAACTGACGGGTACCGACCCAGAATCCGCAGTCAAAATCCCCACCTGCTTCATCGAGTAGGTCGATGCCCTCCTCAACAGCCTCCGCCGTGAAGAAGGCGTTCGCTGCGCCCATCAGCGCAGTCGCGAAGCCACCCTGCCCGGTGGTCCATAGTCTTGTCAAACAGGAAATGAGGAACCTTCACATGATCTAATTACGTTCGTATGCCAGAAACACACAGCGCTCGTGTTGTGATGGCATGAAAGCAAACACCATCCGTCAAAGGATGCGGGTTCGGAAATTCCAGAGTCCACACCCAAGGATTGTCCGCCTGCGTGTCCATCGGATATGAGGCGGGAGCATCAACTGACCGCCTTGGACTACAACGGCGTCTTCTGAGCGTTCTCAATCATGGACATCACTAAATGTCAAATGGAGACCGTGCGATGTGCCTTTTTCTTTCAACCAGGTAGGTTTTGTTGAAGTGGACATCCCTAAAGCCAAAACAATGAACTCAATAAACCAGGCTAGTCTAGAGTCTAGTGATAGAATCCCTTGCCTTGAGCAGTTTGCCCCTTGATAGAAACACTGAGGGAGGAGTTCAACTATGTTCAACTTGCATTTGCCAGAACTCTGCAGCCCAGCTCCCTCCCAACTCAGCGTTTCGGTGGTACCTTCCATCTTTCTGCTCAGGCGCTTGGGTCCGACGGCTGCATGCCTTGCCCGTGCGTGGGAGGAGCTGGACTGCACCAGCACCGTGTCCAAAGAGAAGGGCTCTTGAAGATCCAAGATCAAGCTGGAGGCCAGCTGAGGCACCTGGCTAAAGCCTCCAGGAGAGGCTTTAGAGGACCAAGTGCAAATATGTTGAAATTAAAACGGTCCTCTTTTTGGTCCAACCATCCACTTCAATTCCCGCCTTCATTTGCCAGGCGTT